AAATTTTTCAAAAGATCAGATACTCCCTTCTTCCACCCCATCCCCCACCCCCCTTTACAACTTCTTGGCATTTTGCTTTCTATGCACTCCTTTCATGCTGTGGGGCTTCACTCAAATGCCTCCAAAGAGTCTGTGGCAAACAATGAATCTGTGAGTGGTTGTCCGTTCTCTGCAGTGAAAACTCCCTTGTTTTCTGTTGCTAGGCAACCCCATTCCAGCTGCCATTGAAGACGTGCGCAGTGGTGGGAAACGGTGGGATTCTGAAGAAGAGTGGCTGTGGCCATAAGATAGACGAAGCAGATTTTGTCATGCGGTAAGAGAGCACCCTCAGCTCCACCTGTCTTCCTGCCTCTCCCCTCTCCTCACAGCAGCCCCAGGCTTCTAAAGTAGTCGCTGGTGATGCTGTGTCGCTCTCCTTCAAGCCCATATACAAGCGAATGTAGGAGAAGGGTAGGGGGACCAGGGAACATGTCCCAAGAAAATTCAAAGCGAAGACGGATCAAGGGTACTCTTTCTTAGAGATAGAGGTTCAATCTGATTGTTGTCAGCCTGGGACAGTGAGGGGGAAATCAGCTTTTATTTTAGATTGTACAGTGGGATAAGTATAGCATACTACATTGTTCTTTAGTCAAAGCTCGCCCCTATGAATTAGAAGCAAAACAAAAAACCTCCCTGCCGTCCAGTCAATGCTGACTCACAGGGACCCTAGGTGGGTTTCTGAGACTGCAACTTCCGGGAGAAGAAAGCCCAGTCTTTCTCCCTCGGAGCTCTTGGTGGGTTTGAACTGTAGCCCAATACATAACCTCTGCCCTACCAACAATACACAACCTGGGGCCACTGTGAATCAAATTTTATTCATTTCACTCTACATCTTTTTCTTAATATTTTCCAAATATATCTGAAAGTGGCAAATAGAATTTGAAGAAGGATCCAATATTTGCATAACTAGGAGAATTGCAAGAAATGAGACAAAGTGGACTAAAAACATGGGATTTGGTACCAGTGAAAATCAGGAAAGTCTCTTGCAAAGATATGTAAAGGAATTGCTGGGACACCTCCAAACCAACCCAAGTTAACAGTTGTTATCTCTTGGATATGGGTAAAGAATTGTGTACCAGAGGGCTTCCAATGGCTGATTTTTTGGGAAGTACATCACTAAGCCTTTCTTCCAAAGATCCTCTTGGTGGACTTGAACCTACAACCTTTGGGTTATTGGCAGAGTGTGTGAACTATTTGCACCACTTAGGTACTCTCAGTAAAGGTACAAGTCTTCAAATTATGGTTGTTTATCTTTGTCTGGAAAGCAAAACTAGTGATCTATCTATCTATCTATCTATCTATCTATCTATCTATCTATCTATCTATCTATCTATCTAATCTCCACACATCAATTTATATTTAAAAACTGGCTCATGCAGTCATAGAAGCAGGCAAGTCTGAGCTAATTCAGGCAGCTTCCACATCTAGGTCAGATGTTATGCTCGAGGCTTCTCTTAGCTCTTGACGCAGGGGCAGCTGATGAACCTGAGATGTGTGGGAAGACAAATGGCTGATGGCTGCACATGCAAATGAATCCAAGATCAGTAGCTCAGGCTTGTGGCTGCTGCTGACTTCCGGGATCAACAGGCAAGATGGCGAGCCATTGGCTCAAGTCTAAAAATCCAGAGACTGAGGAGCCAGATCCAGGATCCAGACACAGCAATAGGATAAACCAGCATTCTCACTTATACTTGAAGCAGGCCACACCCCTGAGAGAACTTCATTTCAGTAGTACCAAGCTGTGACTTAAGGAAAGGTCTTACATCCCACCTTAATCTTCTTACACTTGATCAATTGCTTATAGCAGATTTGGTCATGAAATGAATCACAGTGTATTAGGTTACATCGTTGGGCATTACTAGGAATTCACTGCCAAACACCTGAGAACCCTGACCTAGTCAAGTTGACACAAAATCTAACTCTCACGGTGGCACAGTACAGTGATAGGCAATTTGGAAACAGATATGCTTAGCTGTCAGTTGTCAAAGCAAAGGCAGGCACGGACGGATTAGAGTGATGCAATTTGGGAGTGGCAGGGTGTGATGGAAGATGGATAGGGAAAGGAACGTTGAGGGGTCTGGGATGACAATGCGTGAAGTTGCGCACCTTAGAGCCCAAGGTGGACAAGAAGTGGATCACAGGGGTATAGTGGAGAAAGGAAGGGTATTTCCTTTCCAAATGAGAGGAATTTAAGTCCCTTGGAAAGGGATACAGGGATTGTTCTAAAGATGTGGGAAGAAGGCAAAGTCAAAGACTAGCTCAGTGAATCATATAATTTCAGAGCTTAAGTTTAGCTGGGGGTAGCGGTGGGCAGTGACTACATGTATTGTTTTAAAAAATGAAGCCATCTCTATTGAGTCTATGCTGTGGGGTTCCTCCAGGCCAATCCCAAAGTCTCATTGCCATTGGAGTAGCTATAAACCAGGTGCCAAAAGGTTCAGTGGCTTTCAAACAGGGATGACAGCACCCCAGAGGATGGACAAGAGAGAATGGGGAGTGTTTGTCTTTTTAATGTATTTTTAAGGACAAAGAAATAAGGGTAGAATTGGCAAAGATCGTTAAGAGCACAGTAACCCATCTCTGAGATAACGGGGAGTGGGGGGGAGTAAAGACTATTTGAAAGGGGTTCAAGCTCAGTGTAAGGACTATTTGAGAGAAGAAGGCATGAACTTGAGGGAGAGCTGTTTCTTCTCTGGGGATGAGAGATTGGGTCCATGACAGACATTGAACCACGCTTAGTGAAGCCGGCACCTGAGGAGGGGACTCTTCCTTACCTACTTTTCTTCACAAAGGTGAGCCAGCATAGGTTTTTCCAGTGTAGGACTGTGTTTTCTTGTCTATTGATTTCCCTCCCTCCCCCATCTCTATAAACAAACAGTAGGAAAGGTGAGACATTGAAAATATAGGGTTTTTTAAAAATCAAATTGATACAGCATCCATTTATTGAATGTAGCAGGCATGAAGCAGGGTATAGAAATGGAATGTTGAACAGTTCTCTCAAGGACCTATGACTGAGAGGTGTACCAGTAGGATGGGGATCATTCGGAGAACGATGGAGAAGGGACAGGGAAGCTTCGGAGGAACACTGGTGTCCGAGGTGTTCGGTCTCCCCTTTCCACATTTGGCCAAGGACCAACTGTTTTGAAAACGGCTGATGGAAAGGCACCAAGTGCTGGTACAACGTCATAAGCAGGGGGGAGGGTAGCACGAGAGGAGGCTCCAGAGGCCTAGAGTGTGACCGAAACCCCAAACACTGGTTGCCATTGAGTCGATTTCTCGTGTCATGGTTGACATGAGGATAGCAGTCTAGAATGGGCCCGTAAGTTTCCCAAGGCCGAGACCTTTAGGAAGCAGGCTGCCAGATCATTCTTTAAGGCCCCTCTGGGTGGGGTTCAGTCACACACCTTGTGGTTAGTAGTTAAACATGTAGCAGTTTGTGGTCCCCAGGGGGGACCATAGAAGTAAAAGCAATGGATAAAACCACCCGAGGAGAGTGGACTGATCTGAAGCACAGAAGAGCAGAAACGCAGCATCCACTCTCATATTTTGGTATCAGGTAGAGGCTGAGGAGCCAGCAAGAAAAATCAGAGACAGGAGAACACACCTTCCCTACTAACTAGACCAGTGACTGATATCACACCATTTTACCTTACCTTTACCTAGAGTTCAACTTTCTTATCAATATGGGAAGGTTGGAGTAGACAAATCCTCAAGTCTGACCATGTGGCCTAGTGGTTATGCATTGGGATATACAAGGTCAGCAGCTCAAAACCACCAGCAGCTCTGAGGGAGAAAGCCACGTGTCTTAGTTTGGGTACATTAGAGAAACAAAGCCACAGAAACTCATATGTATAAGAGAGAGTTTTATATAAAGGTTACTAAGTGCACATCAAGAACACATCCCAACCCAGTGCTGCCCAAGTCCTCAAGTCACATTAGCCAATGTGTCCGACACCAATTCACAAAGTCCTCCTCCATCTCACAAAACACACGCAATGATGCTGACTGCAGGAGGAAAATTGAGTCAGTGAACGTGTAAGCATCTCAGCGCTGGCAGGGGTCTCCACACGGCTGCTCCAGCACCCAGGGCTGCATCAGGATAGGTTCATGCGGCTTCTCCTTGGGGATGTCTTGCAGGAAGTGAGCCTTGCAAGCTGAAGCAGGGAACTGGCTCAGGCAGCTGTACCCTGGTCCAACCATCACAAAGCAAGAGACCCGAGAGCTAGAAAGGCGAGGCTCACTGAGCCATTTATCTCTCCGCCCTTCAATTAACCCCACATGTTTTTTTCGGCCAGGTTGGCAAAATAAACTTTAACTATCTCACCATGGGACTTTCTACTCTGGTAAACACTTAGCAGTCTTGGAAAACTCATAGGGGCAGTTCTGCCCTGTCTTACAGGGTCGCTAGGAGTCGGCCTTGACTCGGCAGTGAATCCATGGGGATATCCTGGTTTTATGATCACTACAGAATTACAAGATGATTTAGTTAAAATTTTCAAGTTAAGTAATTTAGTCATCAAGTGTTTTAATAAAATGTAGAAGGGTAATAAATGTAGTTTTATATTAATTATGAATATGTATGTGTATGAGCGTCCTGACCCAAGGGGCCCAAAGGGTTGAGCACAAATCTATGCTCACCTGCTAACCCAAAGGTTGGCAGGTCAAACCGACCAGCCTAATGGGATCTCCTCCTGAGGGGCCACAGCCTGGGAAACAACAGCAACTAAGGACAACACTGTGTCCATTGCACTGAGTTTAGAAAATAGATACTTTAAACTTAATATGCAGAAGACCCGACTTAAGTATTTTAGGGGATTATCCCGTGGGGCTCACAATACAAATACACAGGACTGAGTTTGCATTGTGTACAAATCCGTGTTGAGATAATATTCAAGTTTGGAATTAATTAACTCCAGATTAAATTTGGAGTGCTTTTGAATAGAATGTCTGACACAGTATTAAACTTAGGGCTTGTGGAATGATGGGAGGTGAGGATTAAAACCAGTTCAAAGAAGGTGCCATCATGATTGTAGCTATGTATACATGTGTCTTAGACTCAATTTCAAGAGTAGCACTGTACCATACACATTTGAAAACAACAACAGCCACAACAAAAACCCCTTATCATCTACAGTATGGGAGAAATAGATAACTATATATTGTTTATAAATTATTCTTATTTGAAAATTATGAATCTATATAGAAATGGCTGCTTAATTCGCGTTTGGTGGTCACTTTAGAAAACTAAAGTAGTATTTATATACTTAAAATTAA